ATACTAATAACAATTATATGCTAACAAATATAATTGTATTGAATTCTTTATTCCTTAATAAAATCCTAAAGTTTATTTTAAATATACATTATCATTTAAAGTAATAATTATTTATAAATCCTTCAGAATTCACCCTAAAAAGTATTTAATAAAAGTTAAATCCCTTTGTTAATCTTGCATTAATACTAATTTTCAGTCGTTAGTATCATAAGATAACAATATAATAAATTGTTAAGTTAATTTAAGTATAAACCTATAAGACTTAAATAAAATTATAAGATCAGAAACTTCAATGTATAGAATTAATTACCACAGCCTTTCAATTTAGGTATTAAAATAATTAAAAATGAATCTAGTGATAATATATTATTAGCAAATCATACATAAAAATAAATACTATATATATACTTTAGATTTAATTATTAATATTTTATGTTTACATTTTAGATAATTATATTATTTGTATGTAATTATCTTATAATAAATATTATTAAAATAAATGTGATATATCTAAGGGTACTGAGTAAAATCTAAAGATTTATAAGTTATCTAAATGGTAAAAGGTAAAATTTAGTAAAATTATATTAAAATCTTATTAAAAATCTGCAAAATTCAAGAAAAGATATTATAATTCTTCAAAAATATTACTAAGTATATTTTTTTTAAAAAATAATTCTAAAGCTATTTTTTTTAATAAAATATAATCAAATATATTTTCTTTAAAGTAAATAAATCCAAAACTATATTTTTTAAAAAAATATTATTAGATATATTTTTCTTTAAAAGAAATAATTTTTAAAGTTGAATTTTTTTAAAAATATACTATCAGGTATATTTTTCTTTAAAGTAAATAACTTTAAAGCTATTTTTCATTAAAAAAATCATTATTAAATACATTTTTTTTTAAAAAATAATAATATTAAATGCATTTTTCTTTAAAGAAAATACTCTGAAACTATTTACATCAAATATAAATATTATTAAAGTAACTTTTTTTAAAGATAATAAATACAAGTGAATAAATTAAGCTATATTATAAGTTAAATTATAATATATTTAATATTGTTTGATTAATAACTATTTTATAGAAATTCAAATCAATTTTAGACAAGTTAATTTATTTGGCTTATAAGTAGCTTAGCTTATATAAAATTTTAATAAAGTATTTTGATTTTTATTTATTCAATAAACAAGTTAATTATAAATAAATATTAGTATAAAATTTTTTTAATTATAATTATTCTAAATTTAATAATAATATTTATTTTCTAGTATGATATTTAAATTAAGTTAACTTAATTTAGTATTTAATTTTAATAATATATTATTTATTTATAAAATTTATTTTAATTAGATTTAACGTTAATTAGTATATATTTTTAAAAAGATTATAAAATTTATATATCGATATTATTTATTTTTATAAATATATTTTTTTTATTTTTTTATATAAATATTATATATAATAATAAAAAAAGTTTGATAATTTAAAAAATAAATTTTATTTATGTTAAATATAATTCTTTTATTAAATAAATTTAAATTTAATAATAATATAAAATATGGATTGATTACTAAGAAAATCAGGTTTTGGGAATTTTTAACAAAATTGAGATTTTTATTGCATTTTAGTTTTTGATATTATTAGATTAAAATGTTTAAGCTTTTAATTTAAGTCAAAAAATTTCTTAAAATCTGATTTTCCCAGAAACTTTCCATATATTTAAATCTTTTTATTAATAAATATTTATATTAATTTTTAATTTAATTTTTGTAACATCTATTACATAGTTTATTTGTAATATCTTTTTATTTTTTTTAATAATAAATTATTTTAAATAATTTATAAATAAGATTTTTAAATATAAAATTTAATTTAGATAATTTTTATTTAATATATTAAAGACAGATTTATAAATAGTTTTTGAAATTTTTTAAATAAATAATCTTTTGTTTAATTTGCTAAATTATTAACATTACATTTAATTTTAAATTTTGATTGAATAAAATTAAAGGTATTATAAATAAAATATGTAACATCTAATTAAATGATATTTAATATTTTATATAATATAATTTCTTATATAAAAAGTTATTGATTTTAAATAATTTTATTAGATCAGTTTTATATATAATTAAATATTATTTTTTTTATTTAAAATTAGAAAAGAAAGCTAAAATTAAAATTTATTAATTAAATAAATAATTTATTACTAGACTTTTTAATATTAATATATGGATTTGCTTATTATTGTTTTTTAATTATCTTTTTCTTTTATATTACAATTATTACTAAATATAATCTATATATACTGAAAACTCATTATATTAAATTGAAATTTATAGAACTGACTATTAATAATTATTTATACTAAATATAATAAAATTTTATATATTATTCTAAATTTATTCTGGTTAACCTAAATATATTTATTATATATTTTTATATTAAATTATTATATAATAATTGAAAGTAAATATTTAATTTTAATAATTTTTTTATTTTATCTATTTGTTTTATTAAATAATAAAATATTTATAAGGATAAAAAAATATATTTAATATAAAAGTATAAATTATGTAAAAAAAAAAAAAAAAGAAAAAGGAATTTATATGAATCTTATATAAAATATAATATTAAAAAATTAATTATTATAAGTATAAAACTATTAGCTAATAATTTAAAAAATGAAGAAAATTTAAAATTTTTGTAGTTTAAAATAGGTTTAATTTAAAAAATATATATTTATTTATAAAAAATTTTTACTAATTAAAAAAATATTAAGAATATTAGATAACTTTTAAAAAATAATATAAATTTTATTAATTTAAAAGCTTCAAATAAAGTTGTTTGTTTAAATTTATTTTAAATTTAGCAAAATATCTAAACTGTAGTTTGGCTAATTTTTTACTAAGATTTTGATATAGTTTTGCATTTTTATAAATTTTAATATAGTTTTACTTTTTTCAGAATTTCACAGATTTTTTAATAAGGTTTTAATATAATTTCATCTTTTCCATTTAGACAACTTGCAAAACCTCTAGGTTCCATTTAAAAACCTTAGCTTTAAGTATATTTTTTTAATTAATTTAAAATGTTTACTTTGTTTTACAATAATTTCTTAAATTTTATAATTCAAAAGATATTTAAAATAATAATACAGTCAACTCTTATTATAATAAATTCTATATCTTAGACCTCAACTTTGCTATAAAGTTATAATGAAGATTTTAAGAAATTTGATTAGCCAATTCACTATAATAAGAGTATTTTTATTATATTTGTTTAAAAATTTGTTATATCAAGAGTTTATTATATTAAAAGTTGACTGTAAAATTGATCCCTTTTAGAAGATAAAATCTTTTAGTATTTAATATATGAATTTTTATTTAATTATAAAAAAAAATCTAGAATTACTATATTTTATTATATAATAAATAAAAATTATTTTCTTTTATTTATAAAATATAAAATTCTTTATATTATAAAATCTTAATTATAAAAATCTTTTTTTTTTTTATTATTTGAAATATAAATTCTTAATGCAAATTAGTATTTTAATGAAATTCTTTTTAAATTTAATAAAAAAATAAATAATATTTGATAATATATCAATATACTTTATTTTAATAAAATTAAAGAGAAATTGATATAAAATTTTCTTTCATTAAATTTTTTTTTAATTATATAATGCTAGAATTATTCATTTATTTAAATATCATTATAAATGTCTTTTTATCTAAAATTAAATTAATACATATGATAATATGCAGATAAAATTACTAAAAATTTGCTAATTATAGTATTTATAATACTTTATAAAGTTTAGCTAAAGTATTGATCTATAATATTTCTTAAATTATTACAATTTTCTAAAAAAAAAAAGTACTTTTTCTATTAAATAATAATGATAATAATGAGAATTTAATTTTTGATGATGAAATCTTAATAAGTATATATTTGAAAATTTCTTATATAATAATAATTTATTTTATAATTTATTCTTTTATTAATGATATTTTTTTATTTATTAGAGTTTTAAAAAAAAAGTAGAACTAAAAAGATTAATTATTCTTTTATCAAAGATGATTTTAATACACAAAATTATATTTATATTAAAGATGAAATAGACAAATAAGAAAATAATTGATGTTATATTAAATAAGAGCAGATGAAATTTAATTGATTCTTATATTTAAAAAAATTAATTTGGTAAAAATAAATAAAGCTATTGATAAAATTATAAGATTTTTATATAAATCAGAACCTGAATTTGATGAGAAATTAAGAATTTTAAGCAAATTACATAAGTGGATTAAATTACAAGTTTTAAGTAAATTTTAAATAATAAAATAAATACAATATAAATGAAATGTCACGTGTATAATTATTATTGGTCAATTTTATAGTTCGGTATATAAAATGAACGTTATATGATCTAATTTGTTAAATTTTAATCGGAAAAAAATCTTATATTTATATTTATATTTATATATAAGTAATAATCATTCAAAATCTTTTTTAGGATTGATTGGCAAATTTGCACAATATTTTATCGATACAAATTATTATTTGGTAGTTCAAAAAATAACATTAACTTGCCATTTATGTAATGTTCAATTCTCAATTCGATCATACATATAATCCTCCCAACTTTTTTTTCGATTTCTATTCACACTAATTAATATTCTTTTCCAAATGCGTATTAAAAAGCACCCTTCGGAAAACGTTATTGAAGAAATTATTACTACTACTTTAGAATCACCTACCGATGAAGGATACAACGACGGTTATGAAGAAGTAAAACATGAAATTGAAATTCCTACTTGGATAACTTCTCTAAGTGAAGAACAAAGAGCTGGTAAGATTTTAATTTTCTTTTATATTGTGTTGAAATTTTCTTTACTCTTCTGCTAATCAAGAAAGCTACAGGTCTTGAGCCTTTATCTATTGATCTGCTGTACTGAATGCGCCTGATTCAGGAAGAAAAATTATCGAAAAAAATTTATTACTCTTATGATTATTATTATTATTAATACATCATCGAGACTTTTATTGCTTGCTTGATAAATAATTTGAAAAAGAATTTTTAACATTAATTCCTTTGTATATAAAATCCAGAATTTGCATTTCAGCTTCTTTTGACGCTTCCAACTCCAAAAATTGCACAGTTACACATTCGTTTATCTCCTTTATTTCATCGAGACTTTTTAGCCGTACGTCTTTTAAATTTTTCATCTTTTACATTTCAAATTCCTTTTGTATAAAAAGATCCAATTTAAAAAAAAAAAAAAAAAAAAAAAAAAAAAAAAATAGTTATTGCCTTATGAATTGGCAATTCATATTCTTTCCTTCCTGAATGCACAAACTCTTGGACGAGCCGCACGTGTATCTAAACAATGGAGAAAAGTTAGTTCTGATGGATCTTTATGGAGAAACTTATTCTTTAGAAACGGTTGGACCGTAAATACAAAATTAATTGAATTGTACACATCAAGTTATCAACTACCGACACCAACTATGTCTGATTCACCATTTAATCAAGGAAAAAATCCTGATCAATCAATGATGGACGATGATGAATTGGATGATGATCACGACGATCATACTGTAAGTGATCAAGATGACTTAAATTCGCAATACTATAGTGAAGGTGAGTTATTACATTTTATTACTTCCTCCAAGGAAAACACATTTACGTTAATCCTTCCTTTTAATATCTTTAGATTTACGTTACCCTTCAACAAATCAGGTGAATTCATTTTCAAAATCGAACGATGGAAGCAATTCTCAGCAACAAGAATTATCACAGAATTTAGATGTATGGGATGATGTATTACCACATTCAAGAACAACTATTAGTCAAAGTAGTATAAATATACCCTCAGCCATTCCGTCGACATCTTTATCAACTATTTCTGCCCCAATTTCGGATACATCATTTTCAAAATCAAGAGTTTCCCCACGATCCACAAACATACCGTGTTCGTTACACCATTCGACTTCGTCTATACAATCGTCACCCGTTCCCGCTTATTTCACCTTCTTCCCGTCTGTTTATATTCCATATAATCTTCCTAATCACCAAAATGAATCGGGGCAACCCGTAATTAATTGGAAACACTTATTTCATCAAAGATCATTAATTGAGCATCATTGGCGTAAGGGTATTTATTCAATTCGGGAATTACCGGGGCACAATGAAAGTATATATTGTATTCAGTTTGACGAACACAAGATTATAAGCGGAAGTCGTGACGATACGATCAAAATTTGGGATATTAAAACTGGACATTGTGTTAAAACATATCGTGGACATAAACAATCTGTTTTATGTTTACAATATGATGATAAAGTAATTGTTAGTGGAAGCAGCGATGCGACTATTATAATTTGGGATTTAGTTACAGGAGAAATTATACGTACATTGGAAGGTCATAGTGAAAGCGTTTTAAATTTACGATTTGATGATGATCTTATTATAAGTTGTTCAAAAGACCGTACGGTAAGAATCTGGGATCGTGAAATAGGGACGTGTCTTCGAGTGTTAAATGGACATCGTGCAGCGGTTAATGCTGTACAATTTAAAGATGGATATGTAATTTCAGCATCAGGAGATCGTACGATTAAATTATGGTCTCTTTCAACTGGACAATGTCTTCGTACTTTTGATGGTCATTCGCGTGGAATTGCCTGTATTCAATTTGACGGAAACATTATTGTTTCCGGATCAAGTGATAAAACTATAAAAGTTTTTGATGTTCATACCGGAGCTTGTTCATCCACTCTTGTTGGACATACCGATCTTGTCAGAACTTTACAGTTTGATAAAAATAAAATCGTTAGCGGGAGTTATGACGAAACCCTTAAAGTTTGGGATCCTAAAACAGGAGAATTGTTGTCCAATTTAATTCATGGTCATACTAGCAGGTAAAATATTTTAAATTTTCATATTGAAATATTTTTGTTAAATTTTATTGACAAACCTTTCCTTATATATATTAAAAATAGAGTTTTCAAACTTCAATTCAATTCTACTAAAATTGTAAGCTGTTCTCAGGACCAAAAAATAATTATATGGGACTTTGCCAATAATGTAGATACAACATTTTTGGTCTGATAAAAGACATTAAATTTTATATAATATATATATAAATAAATAAATAAAAATAGAAAATGAATATTCACTTTTTTTTTCCGATCAGTCATATGACGTGATCGACTATAAGATTAAACGTTTCCTTATTTATTAAGTCTTTAAATTACAATTAGTTAAAATTTTTTTCTACATTTAAATTTAGAATTCTAACAATATTAAACTTTCTATAAATAAAATTTTCTATAAAAAAAAAAAAAGTTCATCCCCTTCAAGGTTAATTAAAATATCTTTCAGAACGAATTGAACCCAACTTATCACTTTTGGTCCATTTTACTTTCATATCTTCTAAAATAGCATCCTTTTCAACAAAAATATTTTTAACCCATTCTACCAAATTTTTTTCATCACTAGGTAAATCTTCAATAGCATATCTTCTTATATGTACGTGAAATGACCAAGGGGGTGTAATAAGCGGTAATGCATGTATTTGCACTAAATTTGGTGGATACTGTAATCCTTGTCGAATATGTTGATATGCAATTGTGAAGTCTTTATCACGAGAGAAAGATAAATTTTAATTAAAAAGTTTTTGAAAAGAATAATAAAAAAAAAAAAAAAAAAAAAAAATTTTTTTTTTAATTGAAGTCAGATTTAAAGGTTGTTACCATATACGTATTTCACATGAGTATTCTTTAGTTGGCGTACACATGCAACAAAACCTTTAGTTCTTGGTAACAAGAGGTTTTGTAAAATAGGTAATCCACGTTCTCTAGCAAACGCTTGGCTCTAATAAATCAAAATGAGAAGAAACTTAAATAATGATTCATCTAAAATCTAATAAAACTTTTCTAAGTTATTTATTTACCTCTTGTAATTTCTTTTGAGTAAATCTAGTTCCTTCCAAGAAATTAACTACCCAAATAGGTGCAGCATATTTTTTAATAGCTCTAAATATTTTCTTTAATTGCCCTTCGTCCTAAAAATATTTATTTGTTAAAAAGTTCATGAAATTATTATTGATGAAAAAAAAAAAAATTCTTTTATGTTATACCATAAAATGGAAAATTTCATTTCAAGTGTATATATATTACCTGAGTCCAATTTCGTTTAATGAAAATCATTCCCATGAGCTAATAATGTAAATTTTGAATAAATTTAAAATCAATTGCATATATTCATATATTCATATTAAATAATAAAATGATTTGACTTACCCACATACCAAACCCAAAAAAAGGAATCTGTATGGATAATTTTAAATATTTAATTTATATGATTTAACACTATAACTAGAAAATTTATACGTACATATTTCAAAGAATCTTTGGCAAAATATTTAACATGAGGCAACATGTTTCTTCGAATGGCAAGTGAGTGTAACATGTAAAAATCCGTAAAGCTTTTATGATTACTTATCACTATAGCACTTTCGTCTGACGGAATTTTATCACCTGAAAATGTAATACTTCCTTTATGCCTCTTTTCGAATATATACTAATACAATCCAATACCAATAAAATTCAGTTGAGGAGGTTAAAGCTGGGAACAAACTTTTTTTTTTTTTTAAAAAAAAAAAAAAAAGGAAGGTTTTCATACTTGCATGACCCACCACATGCTTTGAGCGCCTCGAGAATTAATCTTCCATACTAGTTTTCTTGAAAATGGTATCAATAACATTGAACATATTTGAACAATGTTAATACTAATAGCGAAACTACAAAATCATAAAATATAAAATGCATTAAGACCTGCTCACATTCACGTAAAGATGATAATATTTTCTTTTTTTTTAGAAGATTATCAAACCTGAATAAAGCTGAACCATAAAATAATGCGCGTAAAGCTTGAGTAATATGTTTCAACATTTTTTCAACTACAAGTTAAAAAAAAAGTAGTTTTGATGACTACATGAAGCAATTTAAATTTTACACAAAATTATAAAAATTATCAACCAATAGCATCCAATCTTATGTTTAGCACGTGATTCTTATCTGTTAGGAAAATTCTTTAAATCTTTTATCCCTTGTTATTTAGACGTTGATTTATTAAAGATTTGGAAATTATATCTTTTAAAGCATCATTGAGTGAGGATAACATTTCCTTTAATTGTTTTATGATCTAATAGCATAAGGCGAGAAAATTTTGATTCATTAGTTACAACTTTATTGTATTGGATTTGTAATTTTCTTGAATATTAATTCGTAATGGAGTTTATGAATTTAAACGGCATTCAAAAATAACTCTAACTTTGCATAAATGCACATTTTAGTGTAATATATAATTTTCACATAATTCTAAAAACAAATTTATTTATATAACAATAGAAAAAGCAAAAAAGAGTACGTTTAAAGCGAAAAAAAAAAGTAATTCTAAAAAAGTAAAAAAAGAGTACGCTAAAAGCGAAGAAAAAGAAAGTCTACGTTTTTTCCCAAAAATTTATATTTACAATATATACAATGATATGTTTTTCATTAATCAATTATGATCCACTTGCGCCGTGAAGGAATATTATTCGTCCCAAACCCAAACATATCAATCTTTAGGTTCTTCAACATCTTATCTTTTCTCGCTTTCTTTGGAGAAATATAATCCTGATGGGAGGTATACTAAAAAGGATAATTCACAAATAAATCTAGTGGCAAGGAACTTCACAATTGTAAAAATAAATATATTATTATACCTCAGTGTCGTGATGAGTTTGCTTCACGCATCCTCGGCAAATCATCAAGCCTCGGTCAATCCCAACTACCTTGGCAAGATTTTTTGTGATTCTTACGAAGGAGTTTTTTGTGAGGCCTAATTCTTCGTACTCCACGTGCTTTGGATGGTGACATGGTCCAATAGATGGCGTTTCCATCTTGATAGGAATGTTCTCCAATTTGATATTCATTTCGATCTTCTCGGTTTTGATAGGAATGTTATCAATTGTCTCCACGTTTTCGCCCATCATTTCAACGTCATCATCATCGATAATAATAATTGGATCGTTGACGTTCTAAAAAGGATAATTTCGCAAATAAATTTAGTGGCAAGAAAACTTTACAATTGTATGAATAAATAAATATATTATTATACCTCGATCTTTTCCATTTTGATCGGAACTTTATCGATCGTCTCCACATCGTCGCCACTTATATCCAACAACCTGATGTCATCAGTAACTGTATCGTTACTGATTGTTGAAGTGCTCGAAGAAGGATGAGGACTGTCATGGCTATAAATATCTTGATCCTCAACAGGTTGACGTTTGAGACCTTTGAATACATTTGATTTATCGTAACTGATTGTTGAAGTGCTTGAAGAAGCATGATTTTGCATTTCACGTTCTTCATGTTCAAGTTCTTCACGTTCTCGCTCTTCACGTTCTCGCTCTTCACGTTCTCGTTCTACACGTTCTCGTTCTACACGTTCTCGTTCTTTACGTTCTTGTATGAGACGTAGGAATACATTTGGTTTATGCATTATGACTGATGGGGGTGTTATAGGTCCTCTTGGGATTGGTGGGGGAGCATCGGCAAAATCAAAACTCATATCACAAATTCGAGATATTACAGGATCGGTTATCCCTAGTCTCTTATTTTCCTTCTTTTGATTATCATAATCGTACAAAATTTTGTAAAAACGCTCAAGGGAATTCCTGACGCGTGGAGGGGGTGGTGGTGGTGGTGGAGGTGGTGGAGGCGGGGTTGCTTCCTTGGCTGGTGGAGCCGCTTTTTTCGTGCGTGTTTTCTTGGTGGTGCGTGGAGCGGGAGATGATTTCTTTGTGCGTGCTTTCTTGGTGCGTCGAGGGGGCATGTTTAAAATTTTAAAAAAAATAGTTTTTAGAAAAGTTTTTTTTTTAAAGAAAAGGTTTACCAAAAAAAAAAATAACGAAGCGTGAAAAAAAAAAAAAGAAAAAAAAACAAACAGCTTGCTTTTTATATTTATTTTTATTGGGTAATATTCCGTTGTTACAAGATCGTCGGGGAAATTCGTTACGATTGATTGTTACGATAATAGATACAAAGGTATGCAAATTTTCCAATAATGGCAGCAAGCAATAAGTTTTTAGGGAGTATAAAAAAAAAACAAAAAAAAAAAAATATAGTAAAGCGCGTACTAACCCCTTAGAATGTAAGTCTTTGTTACGATGATAGGTAAAAAGGTATGCAAATTTTCCAATAATGGCAGCAAACAATAAGTTTGGGGAGTATAAAAAAAAACAAAAAAACAAAAAAAAAAAATAGTAAAGCGCGTTTTACCACTTAGAATGCAAACAATAAAGTTTAGGGAGTATAAAAAATACAAAAAAACACAAATAAAAATAGTAAAGCGCGTTCTACCACCCTTAGAATGTAAAAATAGGTAAAAGGTATGCAAATTTTCCAATAATGACAGCAAACAATAAGTTTAGGGAGTATAAAAAAAACAAAAAAAAAAATGATAAAGCGCGTTTTACCCCTTAGAATGCAAACGATAAAGTTTAGGGAGTATAACAAAAAAACAAAAAAAAAAATAGTAAAGCGCGCCTGTGTAGCAAAAAATTACCTTCTTGACCCTGTACGACATCCTATCTTAATGTAATACAATATATGCAGGTCAAGAAGATAACACGCCTGTGTATAATGACCCCTTAGAATGTAAAGTATCTTGTGGTATAATATAAATTAACACTTTAATATTTTGTTAGAATGTAAAATACCGGGTACTATAGATCGCAACTTAATATCAACTTTGAGCACTTTAATTCAGATAATTGAAATGATTAAAATGACAAGGTATACTTACCATATGTAAACAACGCGTGTTTTTTTTTTTTTTTTTTAAAAAAAAAAGAAACTTAATAAATATTACTTTTAGAATTTTTATAAACCTGGACCTTTAGAGGAATTAATTAATAAATAATACATGACGTTGAATTTTCACAGTTAAGCTTTAAATCATCTATCGAACAAAATTTATTTCAACAGCAACAGCAAAATTTCCTTCCTCAACAACAAATTTACAAAGAAACTTGGGATGTAAGTATTCTTGAGTGGTCTGATTTGGATATACTGACCAAAAGTTTCCACATTGATATAAGATGAGAATCAGAATGTCCACACAAAAATTGAAAGCATTCAATCGATTATTGTTTAGAGGCGTGAAATTGGATCAATGCTTTTTAATGTTAGATTATAAAAGAGGAAATATGCATCAATATTAAAAATGCGCGTGATAAATTAATTATAGTTATATAAATACTAACTGCGCAAACAATAATATCATTTAAAAAGTCAAAAGGACCAACTTTCTTTATTTATGATAAAAAATATAAAAAATAAAATGAAATGATCTAAAAAAAAAAAAAGGAAAAAAAAGGCTACATATTTAGATATTTAGAATAATATCCACCCATGCCGATGTACATTGTTACTTATTAACGTTCGCTTTTTTATGTCTTGTATGAACACAATTAATCTAATAATAATAATATAATAATAATAATAAAAAATAAAAAAATTAAATTTGATACATTAAAAATTAAATTGCTCTTTTAAATCTGGTCAATCTTACAAAAAAATGCCCCTCATTCGAATGAATTCTTTTATGATCCGCTAAATTGGATGACCGATTAATTATGAGTCTTCTTATGTCTTTTAAATTCTTTGGGATATGTGAATTGCCTTGCACATCCTGGATGATCGCATTCGAACCTTTCTGTCGAATGAATATACATGTGTTTTTTCAAACCTTTGGCAAATACATATTCTTTTCCACAATTAGGAACGAGACACTTATGCTTCACAATCTTTCCTTGAACATTCTCCGTAACATGTACTTTCTTGTGTCTTAAATAATGAGAAGAATAAAAATAACTTTTGTCACAACCTGGTATACCACAAATAAAAAGTTTTCCATCATGTGTCATGACATGATCTTTCAAAGAATCCACGCGACTGTACCTCTTTCCGCAATCCTTTATGGTACAGACGTACGGTTTCTCCCCAGTATGTGATCTTTTATGAATAAGCAAACTTTGAGCTTTCACGTAACTTCTTCCACAACCTGATTCATCACAAAAAAAAATTTTCCTATTGATAATTCTTTTTTTAATTTTTTTAACAGCTTTTTTTCGAGTTCGCAAAAGCAAGGGATCGTCATTTTTCTTTGTAATCTTTCGATGTTGCTGACTTTTATTTAAAATCTTTCGATGTCGGTGACGGGAAGTTACGCAAGATCTGGTTTCGTCATCCCCTTCATAAACGTACTTTCTAATTAATGATTCTGCTGTCGTTGGCTTTGATATATAGATTGGCTTATCTCTAACACTGGATCCAACATCCTTTTCGTTCTTTTTAATATCAAGAGAGATGAATGATTGTTATTTTTTTATCTTTATTTTTTTTTTTTTTTTTTTCCTGACAAATACAAGTTATTTTGAATTTATTTTTCTTACATGATCAAAAGGTTTATCTTCCTTTTCGTAATTCGACGTGTTTAATGGCTCCTTTAAATCGAATTGTTTTCGAACTTCAAAAAAAAAGACGAGACGATATACATATAATATTTTTTAATTTTGTTGGTTTTTTAGTAAATAAAACATAAATAAAACACAAATAAAATTATACCCGAACTTTTATCTTTAGTATGGGTCATTTCTAGAAAGAGGAAAAAGGATTATTAAAAAAAAAAGATTTTTTTTACTCTTAAAGATCTTAGGGAAGGTATTCTATCTCGTTATAAAGATAAGGATGTAAATTTTGCAATTAAAAATTCTATAGCTTTATTATATAGGTAACGGGATGTATTGTATCACAGAAAAACAACTCTTAATGGGGTAACCAAAACAATACATCTTATTGGTCAGATCACGCGTACGCCTTTGGACAAATCAATTTATTATTGTTTATTTATTTATTTATTTATTTGTTAGGATTTTAATATTAAAAAGTTATGAAAAAATTTACTAATAAAATAGATAATCTTATATGTATAATATTAATTATAATAAAATTTTAAATAAATAAAATAATAAAAAAAATAAAATATAATAATATGATTAAATATCAATTATACAAATCCTATATATAATTAGTAAATTATATAATAATTTAAATTTTTATATAATAATAAATATTATATAAAATACAAAAAAATTGATTTTAAATAATATTTTAATATGTATATTTTAGATTATTTAGTAAAAATAAAGTTTTAAATTATATTTTTATTATTAAATAATTTATAACCAAATTTTATAATTATAAATTTAGAATTATTTTAATAAATTATTTTAAAATTAAAAATTTTATATATTTAAAATATAATTTTAAGAATAAATAACTTATAATAATTTTTTTTTAATTTTATAATAAATTTTTATTAAAAAGTAAATTTTATAAATAAATTATAATAATTATATTTTAAAAAAAATTTTAAATTTATAAATTTATAATATTAATTTATTAAAATATAAAAAATATATCAAAAAATAAAATTTAAATTTCTCTATCCCTTAGATTGTAGAAGTTTATAAGCAAATTTGTCTACTTATTTACTATAAATTTTCTTTTAATTTACTTTATAAGTATATATTATATATTATAATAATTTTTATTTTTTAATTATATAATAAATAATTTATAGTTACTTATAAGCTAAAAATTTGTAATTTTTAAAAAAATTATAAATTAAAAAATTTTATTATTAACCTTTGACTATTAATATTTATTTTTAGTAATATTAATCATAATAGAATATTATAAAATTTATCATGAAGAATAACTTTAATTATTATACTTTTTATAATTACTAAGAAATTTTATGACTTTTATTAGTAATGAGGTAATTCAATTAGTTTGCATAAAAATTTTAAAGAATTTTTTAAAACTTAAATTTAAAAATTAAATTATTTAAAATATCTTATAAACTTAAAATTTCTTTTAATGAAATTAATAAAATATATATTAAATTATATTTTTCTATATTAAAATTAATATTTAATATTTTATTAAAAAAAATAACACATTTTTTTAAATTTGCAGGCAAATTTGCCTGCTAGACAATCTAAGAGATAATAATTTAAATACTAAAATTTATTTAAAATCAGTTTAATATATAATTTTCAAAATAAAAAAACTCTAATTTGTTAAAAGTTTAGATTTTAATAAAAAAAAATAACAAAAAATTAATAAAAATAAAAAATGAAAAGTTTTATATTTATCTAAAAAAATGTAATATTTATCTTGATTTTGTAAAATGAAATCAATAAACCATTTTATTTAGAATAATTATTTTTAAACAGATTTAATAATGAAAAGGATTACATTTAAACAAGAAATATAAAGATTATTAATATAATAAAGTTTAAGTTGTAAATTTCTCTATACAGGATACTAAAAGAAAATAAAGTTTTCTTATATATTTGAATAATGATATAAAGATTATTAATATAATTAAGTTGTAAATTTCTCTATACAGGATACTAAAAGAAAATAAAGTTTTCTTATATATTTGAATAATAATATAAAGATTATTAATATAATTAAGTTGCAAATTTCTCTATACAGGATACTAAAAGAAAATAAAGTTTTCTTATATATTTGAATAATTAAACTTTTAAATTGTTCTTTAAACTACCATTATTATTTGCGTAATGGTAGCTTTAAAAACAAATAAAAGTTCAAACTGACCCTTCAGTTATCAACTTTAAATATTCAACACCTATAATTTGACTTCATATTTTCTTCTTTTTCCCAGCGGTTGTGGCGCGTATCCAAGAACAAGGTGTAAAGTTGATAGGCTAGTTATTTGATTAGAATCGCAATTAATAAGTTAGGTAAAGCTAGTAAACTCGATATTTTCAAAACAGAAGACAAATAAGTTTTTTGCTTTTTTACCATTATAACTGATATTTTCATTTATAAAACTTTTGACATTTTGGTTACGCACACGCCAGATGAAAACTAGAAAGTACGTTGTATGTTCCTTAAACGACTGCATTAAGTAAGATGTTTTTTATTCTCTTTTTTTAAGTAATTGTATTTGCTATTAATATTTAGTTTCATTTCGCGGGAAGAAATTTTTTTTTTTTTTTTCCCCTTTTTTTTTTTTTTTTTTAATTCTTTTTTTGTTAATTGATGAACGAACTTGATGATCGTGAGCCAATGAAATCAGATTGATGCGTGATTTTATTCTTTGTTCCGTTACATATACCGCATAATTTACAATGGCAAAAAAAAAAATTGGAACCCATGTTCTATACAAAATTGTAATGGTTGTTTTCGTCAATTATATTAACTAACTTACAAAAAGGCACAAGAAAATGGAACCTATATGTATACTAACATTACTTTTTTTTTTTTAGATAGTTATACATTTGGGAATTTGGCAAAAAAATGGTATCCGGATTTTATTTGTCGGGTATTTGTTATTAGGGTTAGGATTAGAGTTTATAATAGGATTAGGATTAGGATTAGGATTAGGATTAGGATTAGGATTAGGATTAGGATTAGGATTAGGATTAGTTAGGAGGTTAGGAAATTTGTCGCATCGCGTCACATCCAAGCCGTTCTTCAATATACTGAGTATTCTGGAGACATAGATTTTTTGAGAGAAAAATGCTAATTGTCTCAATTAACGTCACCCTAATAAGTATATGTAACCTGATCCGACTACCATTTTTTGGTGGCGACGCTAGGGGAGATTTGCTATGTGATTTAAACTCGATTTAATAGCAAACCTCCCATTTATTGAGCAAATGACGGTGGATGATGAGGAAATGGTAGTGAATTGTTATCGGATGTCGGGGACATGGACCTGTTGGATCTATTTCCGGTGATGAAGGCGACTTCGGCAATGGCGGCGATGGTTTCATCGGGTAATGTGGATGAATTCTTTTCCGATGATGGTATGACGGAGAATGTGGATGCGGAAGTGACATCACCCATGGATTTACAATATTCACGAAAATTTCGGAAAAATGGTAGTATAGAACTTGATCCTAATCGTTTTCAACAAATAATTGAGGAAGCTTTAATCAGATGGTAAAGGCACTAATAGATCTATATATTACTGGAATGAGAAATAAATTTGTTACCGAGAAATTGGATTGTATACATCGGCATCAGGAGCATCACGAGTATCACGAGCATCGTGTACTGCAATTGATACAATGAATAACATTAGCTTTTCTTCTTGTTATGTAACGATTAATGATTATAAACAAAAACTTGTAATGAACACTATAAAAATTAGAGAATATTTTCTGTACAAGAGAGTCTTAATAATTTTTGTATATAATATATGTAATTTTTTTTCGATTTGAAAAAATGATAAAAAAAAATAAAGTTTTATGTTTCTATTGAATAAAAAAATTTTTTTTTTATATATTTATAAATTATATACAAGAAAATTCTAATATAAATTAGCTACCTTAGGAGAAATTGTTGACTCAAAATGTCTCCCAACTGAATATAGTTTTGGTGCCAGACGCTTGCGATCACTGTAAAAAAAACTTGATGAAGTCTAGTTGGGCATGGATATATGGAGTATAGTTGTCATTAATGTGAATAATATTATAAAAAGGTGAGAATGTTGAAGTTACCTCAATTGAAGAAGAATGAAAAGGCGGAAGAAATAAAGCCAGGAACTACGTGTAGCTTTTATAAAATGCACTTAACCAAGTTGGCGCTTTGTAATATATCTACAAGATTCCAATAAATAAAACCCGAAAAAGTTAGCACTTTGTAATATAATAAATCCACAAAATTCAATCAATAAAACATCTATTATTATCGTAAAAAATATATAAAAACTTACTCTTTATGTCACTTGCTGGGCATTCGGATCAATTTTGATCCAAGAAATCCATTCTTTGAAGAAGGATGTCCACTGGTATTTAGTAAAAAGGCCGATCGTTTATTGTTACAATAATTGTGTAACACCATCACCAAATTTAGACTTTACCTGGGTAAGATTAATTTTTATAATGTTGGAACATATAGAATTTTAAAGATTACATTAACAGAAATAAAATGTTTTTCTGAGATGTTAAAATACAACTATGTTTTCAATTAATTTTTTATTTTGACTCTTTCAGTGGAACCCCTAAAAAAAGCAATAGCTTTGATCTGGTCCCTAATAACGACTACATTTAAAGCCTGCACTTGATTGGAATAATCCAATCCAACAATCAGTAACCGAATAGAAATTTAAAGCACCGATTAATCATCTTTGATGTATGCACTTATGGGTCAAATGGAATGAGAATTTTTCATGATCATTTTATTGAAATGTATCATTTTTGACGTAAATCTAATCAAGAAGATCATAGTGAAATCCAATTTTGAAAACTACGATAAATCAGAATGATATTCAAGAGAAATAAAATATAAGTAATATGAAACCATCACAAAATTGTTGTTAGGTGGGTTCAAACATGATGCGCAAGTCCTTTGCCTGCGACAAGGCACGACTTTCCTATGCTTAAAGGGGATTCCAGTTTCTAAAAATGAAATTATAACGCGATATAAAAACATATATTATAAAAAATTTGAACTTCCACCTTGTCACTTCGGAAATACTTCTAATCAAACTGCCAACTTTCCATCTCTCATTCTTTTACAAAGAGTTGGGTTCATTGATAATAACAAATGATCCTGATCTACAAGACCTCTTCACTTTTTACGACCCTCCTTAAATGGATCATTGGTTGCAGATTGCGATTATGAGAAAAGTATCGTTGGGAAGTTATATTTTGTACCAGAATACGTATACGCCAGTTCTATTAACACCATCTTTCCAACATCATCTATTAACTATGTTTTAGTCCGATTTTGCATTTGATCGTATAACGGGTTTTCAGTATGCATTGTTAAATTTTTCAAGTTTTCGTTTAATATCTTTGCGCTCATGTATCATAAATCTCGAGTTTACATGAATGCAAGCATTTGATACAGAGCTGTGAAAGTGTATGTTGCCGGATTACTATATTGAATCAAAATAAAGATGTCATTCATAAATAATCAAAGTTTAAACAAATAATATATTTTAATTTAATACCTACCCACTCATTTTGTTCATCAATAATACAATAATGAAAGTAGGCGAAGTTTTAAATTAAAGTTTTAAATTACGTGGTTGAAAAAATGTATTCCTGAGGATAAAAAATAAAAGTTTATTAAATTTAATTATTTATTAAATTACTTTGATTTGGAAAAATTTTTCACCATTTAAATAGAAACATATACAATTAAATGCCTAAATGCATTAACACAGCGGTACTAGTGGAAAGAATACTAGCTAGTTTAAAATGCAAGTATTTCTAAAATATGTCAAAATTTGAAAAAAATTTCTCTGTTTTGATTGGTTGATTCATCCTATATATTGGGAAAAAAAATATAATATTTGCATATACAAAAAAATAATTCTGACAATAATTCGCTAAAAGAAAATTTCTGGACTTTATATAGTTATTTAACTTTTAAACTCAAAGATAAAGCTCTTCAAAGTAAATTTTTACATCTGGGTAATCCATACGTTTTGTTTTTATTACACTACATTTAATCATAATATCGTCTTTCCTGATAATAAAAACTTATTTCATGATACACAGAAAAATAAAATGCAAATAGGAGATTTTCACCTTGAAGTTTTAATTAATGGGCAAGCTTTACCAGAATACAAATCAACCGTGTGATGAATCAAATGTAAGCAATAAAATGTTCAAGTATTTCTTTTTTCCTTTACAAAAAAAAAAAAATTTAATTCATATTAATCCCTGTCATGACCCCAGGAGAACGATTTACAATTAGGACTGAGGTCAAACAAGCTAGCACATCCAATATTATAATTTCACGTTTATATTAGATATAGATGGTCAATTTCACGAAGTTCATCATCTTCACCAACAACGTATCAAGGACCATATCGTACTTCGTTAATTTTGAAAGAGATCATTAAATTTACCAGCACAACTAAAAAAAGATGATGGTGTATTCAAAGTCCCTTATCCTGTTAATAAATATCCAAATAAGCAAAACCAAACGTCATATGGGAGACCCGGAACAATTACTGCTTGTTTCTTCAAAGGGATTATTGTTGACGAAAGTGCTTTAATTAAACCAGAATTCGAAAGTCAAGCAAGTTAAGGTTACAAATACGGAGATTGATTATACCATTGGATATGATGTCGTGGATGCAAAAATTCCACCGTCTACCGTAACAAAAATTATTGATATGAAACCCTAGGATTTCCTATGCCAATATATTGTCATGGAACTACCCAGAGAGATCATAGGAATTGACGTAGATTCAACTAAAAGAATCATGGAAATCAATAACACCAAAGTGGAACAAACAACAGAATTTATGGGAATCCTAGACCCAACAAAAGGATAACACCAACGTTGACCCGACAACTGAATTCATGGAAATCCTAGATCCAACAAAAGGAATCATGAACGATAACACCAAAGTAACTCTATCAAAAAGAATCTTAAAAATTGAAAAATTCAACTTTGAAATAAAAAAAGGCAAACAAGGTAGCTACGGAGTTCTAAGATCATTTCAAGAGATAACCGATAGGTTTGAAGGTTTCATAAAAGAACAAGCTGCGATGTCTCAGGAATCTACTCAAGAAATCATGGATCCTGAAATAGAAAAATCGTCATTTGACGAAATCAATGTTTCGCCAAATAAAAAATCTAAAAAATATCATGATAAAACGTGTAAACATGAATAGACGAGGAGGAATTTATGTTGCAATTCACAAGAAACTTTTATCATGTGATAGTTTTTTTTTTTTTTTACGTTTCTTATTATATAGATTTCTATTGTTGAAATTTTTTGTAAATATTTTTATTTTATTATATTATATTTCAGTTAAAATAAATTTATTAAATTACATGACATATATTATCAACTATAAATTCGTTTAATCTGATCGGCCAATCACATGAAAGTCGGGAAGATTATAGTTGATCCAATCACTAGTGAGAAGAATTTGCCAATTCCGAATTTAGTAATAAGGCATTTTTTTTTTTTTTTTTTTTTTTTTTTTTTTTTATAGTGTTTAATTTCACTTAGTCTGTAAATAGGACCACAACTTTCCTAAAGAACAAGAAAAATTTCACTTTGTATCTTAAAGAACAAGAAAAAATTAATTTATCAAAGAACAAGAAAATTAGACTGTCAAAGATCAAAAAAATGGTCTTGCTAAAAAGTACAAGATTAGATTATCTAAAAGAACAAGAAAATTTAGTCTATCTAAGGAACAAGAAAATTGTTGTCCAAAAGAACAAGAAAATTAGACTGTCTAAAAGAACAAGAAAATTTAGTCCGTCTAAAGATCAAGGTTCTTCAAAGCAATCCTTCACTGATGCAAACGTCACTTGGGATCCTGTACCAAATGGTCATCCAATTCAAGTGATAATCATTATTTGCCGGGTAAAAAAATGGTTTTTCTAAAAAGTAAAATAGAATTATCTAAAAGAACAAGAAAATTTAGTCTATCTAAAGGACAAGAAAATTGTTCTGTCTAAAAGAACAAGAAGATTAGATTGTCTAAAAAAAAAAAAAATTTCACAAAAAAAAAATATTTCATAAAATATACCTATTGTTCGGTTTTTGGTCATTCGCTTGGGAAGAGGCAACCTTTACAGTCTCAGGCTTTTTGGAAAAGCATTCGGTTGAGTTACCTTATTTTATGGTTTTTTGATAGATTTTGGGAAGAAGGAAAAACATCAAATCAGATATTAAGATTTCGAATGCGTGAATTTTGGTTCATTCTGAAGCGTCAAAAGCGTTAAAATATTTCAGCATCGCCAAACTTGACCAGCTTGATTAATTAATTATCCAAGTTTTTTGGGGGGTAGAATAATAAGATAAGGTTTATTTTACATTTTGGTGTAGGTTTTTACGGGACAGTTTGGACATTTGGACATATTAGGAAACATAATAGGAATGAGCTTGGAAAACTTGATTCATTTAGGAAGGGAATACATAGTGCGTGTATTTACGATTATAAAGTAGTTCTTTAATCGCTTTATTTATCTACAAATTAATCAACAGCAATACATCAACTTTACATCAACCTCACCACAATCAACGACCATTTCGGGAATTTTTTTTTTTTTATGATAACTTTTTTTAGAAATGTAACAATCAATTTATGATATATCTAAAAACCTGCAATAAAACTTTATTTTATTTTATTTTAACTCGCCTATTGCAGTACTTTTCTTTTGACCGTTATTTTATTAAATTTTTAATAAAAATAAATTAAACAACTTAATTACATTAAAACTTTAGTACATTAGCCATTGTTAATTACATTATTTAAACAACTTTCTATATTAGTGTTTCAAGCCAGGATCCAATTTAAATGCTTTTTTCATAAAGTGAGATTTAATTTTTTTGAAGACCACAAATCACGTAGATTCTTATGAATAATTGAAATATTATTATACCCATTTCTATCTGGCATAAATCACTAAGAACTGTGTCATGAATCTTATTGCTAAACCAATCCTTCCTTACTCAAGTGCGCTAAATGTTTTCTCCTACATGGATTGATCTACATTTTTTCGCATGAAACTTTACTCTCTAATATAATCTTAAGTCTCAGCCAATCCACAAGCTATAACTAATACCACATAAAGAAATGATGAAGAAACAAAATAAGAACCATCTCTCCGTATCGGTTTTGTTCCATACACATTTATAATTTTGGTATTTGGTACAAGATGCTAAAGACGGTTACAGTCACGCTTGCTTAAATATCAAAAAGCATTTCGAAGTGAAGGTATCGGAATGCTAACATTATTAGATAACAATTGACACAATCATTATTAATTAGAATTAAATCAGAAATTTTCAAAACAAATGAAAAAAAAAAAATGTTCTACCAGGTGATGGATGAATTATTGTTTCTTCATTTTCAGCCATCCAAGTAGCCAATCTCTTCCTCCACGTAATCAAATTTCATGTTTCAGTCAATGAAGATATTGATATTTCCAGAATTTTACCGCGCTAAATTAGATCATAAGCAATTTTAACATTGTAAACTTTTCCTTATCAGAAAGTCAAATTCCATCCATGTATAATGATGTGTTAGTAAAGAATAATGCCATATAGCCTCTATGATAAAAGAACAGCATAAGGAAAATATAATTATTTTATTTACCATTCGAAGTTACAGTACTTCCATTTGTCTAATGATTACACCAAAAAAAATATGGGACGTGGTTGTGAACATGCTATAGACATTAATATTCCAATCCAAATGTTTTTATTAGAAAATTATGCCAAATCCGAAAAAAGTATTAATGTAAATCATTTTAAATGAAAACAAATTAAAAGAATTAAAGCTAATAATCGATTTGCGACTTACCATTTGGTAACGCTATATCTTGGTAAGTTCATTTTCAAATATTCCCTTATTTGTTAATAAATCTATGATTTTTGTGCTCGCAAAACCGTAATTCCTGCTTCATCTTCTTCAATCGAACTCACAAAATATAACAGTGCATTTCCTTCCATAGATACAAAATAGCTGACAAAGATTTAACTCTACGAACTAGGTTTTTGTTTTTAAAAAAAAATTAACGTTAAAAATAAAAAAGAGAATTAAAATTTTAGATTATAAACTACGTAATATTATTATATACTATTTCCGCCTGATCTAAATTACCAGTATTGTATTACCTTTGCCATTTTGCGGATCTTATTGTTGTTCTAATACACATTTATAATTGCAAGGTGCTGAAGACGGTTACAGTCATGCTTATTAAAAATATCAGAAAGCATTTCGAAGCGAAGGTATCAAATACTAGTAATCGATAGCAATTGCACATAATCATTATTATCTCTCTATAAATCTCAAGGCAAATGAAAAAAAAAAGTTTCTACCAGATGATATGTGAATATTGTGCCTTCATCCAAGTACCAATCCCCGGAAATGTCAATACCATCCATCAATAAATGAATCAGATAGAATTTCAAAATTACTATCGTTAATTAGATAATAGCAATTACACGTAACATAGTAAAATTTTCCTTATCAGAAAGTCCAAATTCTTTGACATTCATGGAAAATGGTGTATTAGTGAAAAAATTTTTTTATTTACCATTCAGAGCTCCAATACTTCCTTAAAGTTCAAATGCTATCTGGTCCAATGGTTACACCAGCATCAATTACAAGCACTGAATCTAACACATCACTACATCAACCCCCCTCAAAAATCCATCGTCTAAAATTTCGCAACTAATTTTATTAATTTCAATCTCATCTAATCGTCTCATCTAATTCACTTGATAGTTTTTCTTGGATTTATGCACTGCACGAGCATGAGTTTCCTGTCTATTAATGTTTGAAGACCTGGTGGATAAGTGGGATCTACATAAAAATTATTGAATATTATATCGTCTTCGGGATAGTTATTTGAATAACCTAACTAATTAGCACCAGCTTTAATAATATCTTCATACCTTTTGCGATTGATCCTCGAAAAAAATTTTTGAATCTGTTTTCATATAATCATAAGTTTCGGGTTTTCCACATTTGTACAAGTAATTCATAGAATTTTGAATATTTCCAATACAAGCTTATGCATCTGAACAGAGCTGGTAACAAATAATTGTCAGAGCCGAAATAGCTCAGCAAGAAAAAAAAATGTTTTGGAGTTCGTTCAGCAACATCCTTTTGCAAAAGCCATTGAAAATGATCGTGAAGAAGCATAATAGAATAATGGTTCCCATTTCCTAGTATCTTTTCTACGCGATAGACTTGTTCTTATAGAGCAATTGTTTTATTTTAGATCTTGGAATCAGCAAATAAATGTTGTCTAGATATAATTTTCAAAAAAATATACAGCTCCAGATCCTGCCATATTCCATTCATTAGTTGTACGAAAGAAAAAAGAAGAACTTCTTGTTATTTCCATCGTCGTTGTTTTCATTTTCTATTATGACGGAAGAATTGTTTCTCCAATAAATCTACAAGTCATCAGAAGGATCTGTTGATGATGAGACACCAATATTAAGATTTATTAAGAATATTATTATGAGCGAGCTAAAAATTCTTGAGGAATAATATAATGCAATAAAGCAAAATGTTAGCTATAGTATAAGTATAATAGTCCAATTGACTTTTTAGCATGATCAGATAGAAAGATTTTTCTTTCACTAATATTTAAATTTATATCATTACCTTTATATGTCACCTGCGGGATGTTTAAATGGATTGCCAACACTTAATGTTTAGTGAGTCCGGACTACAATTACCATTCCCTTGTTTACATTCCACAATATAGAAGTTCCAATTTTGTACTTTAGTTTCTCTGTCTTTTTATTATAACAAAAAAAAAAGAATTTTAATAAAAAAAAGGTATAACTAATTATATAAGAAACGAAAGTAAATAAAATTTTTTATTTTAAAAAAAAATTTATATATAATATAATAAAGTACTTTAACTTAATATTACTAAAATAGAATTTGGAAATGATAAACATGATTAATATACTATTTAGGAAATGATTAACATAATTTAATATTTTATATTATATTATTAATAAAATAACTTATTATATAGTAAAATAGTTATATTTTAAATAATATATTATAATTAATTTTTAAATATATTTATTATTTATTAATATTAAAATATTTATTAAAAAAAAAAAAAATTTTTTTAATGTAATACAATAATTTTCTTAAATATATTTACTTCTTAACTAGAGATA